ACACTGAATTCCAATTCCTTGTTTCATACGAAAATGGTATTTACAAGTTAATTTTAATTTTGAACTTTAATAACATTATTTCTATATTTTATTGAGAGGTTTTGGCAGCATGACCTTAACTAAGACGTGACAGACTACCCCTGTTTGATGAGGTCGTAAAATGATTCACAATTCATCTGGCTCACTGGTTACACCTGTCATGTGTTCTTATTCAGTGTAGTTTCGTAACGCACAATGTGATTGATAAAATATCAAGACCGTACCAGACCGCCAAACTTTTCTAGCGGCAGAGCCTCGTTTTGAGATTTCCGTTTGTCAGAGCACGCTGTACGACAGAGCACGCTGCATGACGTGTTTGCAAGGATTAGAAGGAGCGTAGTGTTGTAATATACAAGTGCTTAGATGTATCAAATAATAATGATTAATATTTATGTATCCAGTTGAATGAAGTGGTCTCAAAATTCTGGACTGGTTAATGTACTAAGGTAAGCAATAGGACGGACCCCAGTCAGCAGGAAACGAGACTGTTGTGTAATCAATGTTTTGACTTGGTAGTGGTTAGAGCGTCCGCCCGGAGAGCGGAAGGTCGCGGGTTCAATCCCCGATCGCGTCATACCAAAAGACGTTGTTGGTACTTGTTGGTCCCTGCCTGGCGCTCGCCATTAATGGGCTCGGAGTCAGTATAATGTGCCTGAGTGGGGTATTCATGCTTCACTGAGGCATGGTATCTCAGTGGGCTAGCACTATAAAACCAGCTTAAGTCTGGGCTAGTACAAGCAGCCACACATACACATACACACGCATGCACGTCGTCATATGAGCGAAATATTCTCAAGCACGACGTTAAACCCAATTTCACCTCACCTCACCTTTAACTGTCATAATGGGTTTACGTGCACTATTCGTCATAAACAGGCAAACGTGCTTACTGACGACCATGGCTTTGACCAACTCCGCTCTGGAAAGAGACATCAGTACGCGTTTCGACTAAAATATACTGCATCTAGTCGTAGTAATCATTGGTTAGTTATTTGTTTACATAAATATCAGACCCGTGAAGATCCGGGTTAGAACTGGTCTTCAGTTACCCATGCTTGTCGCAAGAGGCGACTAACGCGATCGGGTGGTCAGGCTCGCTTACTTGGTTGACACGTCATCGGTTCCCAATTGCGTAGATCGATGCTCATGCTGTTGATCACTGGAATGTCTGGTCCAGACTCGATTATTTACCGACCGCTGCCATATAGCTGAAATATTTTTGCTGGGTGCGGCGTTAAACAACAACCAACCAAAAACCAACCAACCAACCAGCATAAATATCTGAGAAGGTAATTAAAAAACACGGTCCTGGAACCGTCGCTTCTGGAATCAGGGACCCTCCCACGGTCTTGTGAGTTGCAGAATAGTGCCTCATCCTCTCAAAGGCGACTGTGGCTGCTGAAATGAACATCAAAGCCAGTTACAACATCGTAAACCGATCACCTCAAACAGCGTTACTGAGGGTGAGCTACAGTCCCTCTTCGTCCATCGCCCACATACAGCTTCAGGGTTTGTTTGAGCCTCAGCGAAATGACCAGCACACGTGACAAAAGACAGAATCAGGTTTCTAAAATGTTGTGCTAATTTTCCGGCCGTTACATGGCGTTTTAAAGAGCAAACTATGTTCGACATGATCCGTACATGAAAACAGTACCTTTGGGACCACGTCAAAGACCAGTCGATAAAACTCTGTAACACAAGGCACTGAGAACGTTTAAGGTTTCATGAAAACAAATGTAATTATAAAATAGAAAATTGTATCCACAGACATTGACGATCGTGGCGAGACAAACTGTTTTGTTTGTTTAACGCCACACTCAGCAATATCCCACCTATATGGCGTCGGTCTGTAAATAATCGAGTCTGGAGCATCGATCTACGTAATTGGGATAAGGTGACATGTGTCAACGAGGTCAGCCAGCCTGATCGCCCGATCCCGTTAGTCTCTTATGTACAAACATGGGATGCTGAAGACCAATTCTAAGTCGGATTATCTCGGATATTATCTATCAAAGACGGTGTTAGAACGAAGGGGTGTAAGACGTCAAGTTTCTAGACCGATAATGGTTTAAGACGGGGGTGTATGTTAAGCCCAATACTATTTACATTTTCCATCAATCAGCTTATGCTTGATATGTATGAAGGTTGTAACACTGCATTTTTGTGACTCAGGAAATTGAGGATCTTGCTGATGACATTGTAACATTTTCTCTTTTGTGTGTGTGTGTGTATTTTTCGAATCCAGGACAAAATACCCCCGGACAAAATACCCCGGACAAAACGCACCACTTATAAAAGTTCAGATTATGAAAAGCACGTGTAAGGAATTGATATTTTTTGAGTGGATAATAACAGATGGATGACTGACAAAAACAACAACACAGAAAAGACGCTCATTCATTGGAATGTTCCACAGTCAGAAAGGATCAAACACACGTGGGGTCAAATCGAAAAGTCAATATCGCGTGTGACCGCCATTTGCATTGACACATGCAGTTCAACGTCTCCTCATTGAGTCAATAAGCGTCCGAATAGAGTTCTTGAGGATGGCATTCCACTTCTGCAGTGGTGCAGCCTCAAGTTCCCGGATGTTTCGCATTTGTTGTCGCCGCGAAAAACTTTGACCAATTTCGTCCCAAAAGTGCTCCATGGGGGATACATCTGGCGACTGTGCTGGCAAATGAATAACCTGGATGTGTTGCTGGGCCAGATACTGCATGGAAAGTCTTGTTGTGTGTGACCGTGCGTTGTCCTGTTGAAAAGTATGGACATCTTGGTGGTATTGAAGACAGATACGATGTGATTCTGAAGAATCTGCTCACCGTAATGAAGGGCATTAACTCTCCCTTGACAGACATGAAGGCAGTCCTGTGATTGTAATTTATTCCACCCCAGACCATGACACTCCCACCACCCATAGGTCTGTCTGAAGCACACACTTATCAGCATAACGTTCACCACGTCTACGCCAAACACGTTATCGGCCGTCAGTATTACGTAGATGAAGACGTGACTCGTCAGTGACTACCACACCATGCCATTGTTCTAACCTTTACTGAAAATGCCTGCTAGCACATTGTATACGCTAATTACGGTGTCTGTCTGTTAGAATTGGTCCAACGTAAGGAAGTCGAGCATGGGGCCCTGTAGCGTGTAGACGGCGTCGCATGGAGTCAGCGCTGATGACCCCCACGTCAACCAACCTTGAACTAGTGCAGCAGTCCTGGCAGTCGGCAGTGCTCAATCACTGATATGGACAAGGCCAATATGGCGATCCTGATGGAGCGTCGTAACACGTTGTTGCCAAGGTCATTGAAGTTCACGGGTGCTGCCTGTCTACTGATGTCCTCTATGAAGCCTAACGATGGTGGAGTGGCCAAGTCCAAGTTGTCGAGCAATATCCCTGCTGCTGGTGCCAACCTGAATCATACCTAGTGCACGTTCTCTTTCGTGAGGTGTTAACCTCGGCATCTCTGTCCTCGTTTCACAATCGTTAGTGAAGCAATGAGAATCGGTTCTCATACACCTGCTTTTAATGTCACAGTCAGTATGATTTCAGAATGAAATTCGCTCGTTTTTCATGGCGTGGCTGCATGTTGATGCATTTTGGGGAAAAGAGTCATACTGTGGACAGGAATTTGTTTCTAAAGCATTTTTTCAACTGGACATGCCCCTCGACTTCATGTTAGTTATATTCATTGATCATTGTCATGCTGAAATCCATCTTGATGAAAATATGGACAATTTTAGACTGGTGCATTTTCAATGATGTTCAGCATATTAACAAACAAATAAATGGATATCATAAACTCTTGACGGTTTTTCTTTGGGGGT